GCCCACTGACCAATCGAAATGGCCTGATCGCCTTTGTTGCACAGTTTGATGAACTTGCCGTCCACAACATGCTCCTCGATCTCAATATCGCAGTCCGAATTGAATTTTATCTGGAATTATAGCCCTTCGCTGAGGCAGACTGAGCCACCGATTCCTGACGATGCAGGAATGGAAGGCTGAAAAGTGCCAGGAAGAGACAAATAGCGAAGCGCACCAGCGTAGCCGCTGTAGTGCGTTTTGCGCAATTCCGTCCAGCGGACGCTTGTTTACTAAAAATATAACTGTTTTACATTTTCGTACATGGAAAATAATAGATATGCTGTCTGGCCCCTAAAATGAGGAATTTCCCACTGAAAACTTCACGTGCCGGCACGTGAAAGCTGAATTTGAAAACATGGATGGAGAACATCCCTCCAAATTCCAACTCTGTAATTTCTCGGCTTCCGAGCTAGCGACTTTCACATCGCAACTCTCACGTGGTCGGGAAACATACCCATAAAATTTTCAGCCCTCTAGCTTCCGCGGTTCTTGAGATGATTTTACGCGCTAAAAATTTACGAGGCCCTGCGTGTTACCCGCAGACGCGGGAAGGTTGAGTTTAAGTTCCTTGGGTCGCAAGCGGGCAGAGGACATACCTATAAGATTCCAGTCTCCCAGTTTCCGTGGTCCCGAGAAACTGATTTTACTCGAAAAGCTTATACGGGCTCGTACATGTTACCGCGGGTACAGGAAGGTTGGATTTAAATTTGTCGCGTCACCCGTTGGTGGGGAACACTGTACTGAAATTTCAGCCGTCCAACTTTTGTGGTCCCCGAGTTGAAAGTGTGGAACAAAATGTGGGACACACACAAAGCACATACACAGACAACCCCGTGACAATGTGCGTTTTGTACCGCTGTTACACAGCACAAAGCGCATAAAAGGTAATACTTTGTATTTCTTGGCAATGTTCTGGTAAGAGAGACTGCCGTCGAATGCGATGAAGCGCTTCCCTTTGACTGCTCGAAGCCATCCAAAATAAGCAAACAAAACATTCAGAAAACGATCGCCAGGAGCTGCTGGTGATGCCGCTGGTGGCTGTCGCGAGATGTTCAATCTAAATTTTCGAAGGTATTACTGACAGTAAAGACCCAGCATTTGGGTTCACTCCTTCGCTTATATACCTCCGCAGAGCAAAAAAGATAGCAGGAGTTTTTTTTTATCTCTAGCACGAAACCTATCAGAAATATCCTCGAGAAGCAATAAATGTGATACCGTGACTCCTGGTAAGGTTTCAGTTCGGTGTTAAGCTGAACTCCCAGGTCGAATTTATCTTGATTCTCCTTCAGCAGGCGGCCAATTTCTTGCAGCTCCACAACTCGTTTATCGCGCTGGCTGAGGCGCAGATCGTAATCATCACGAGTAAGGCGCACCTTAAATATCCTGCGATAAAGTAAGGCAAAGAAACATTTCAAAATTTCGCCAGCATTTCGCTTAATAACTACTGCAACTACGTATTACAGGCACCAATTTCGGAGTTTCCCTGCATGTATTCTGCCTGTCTCAGACGACCATAAAATCTGCTTTTTCAAAAAGCAAGGATAAACTTGCCTAAGGATATGCCGTAGACTTGCGCCTGCATACCACTTAGTGGAAGAAACTGTACAGTCACAGGAATGAATGAACAAATAACTAACCTGACTCTCAAAATCGGCAATCTTCCTGTTCAGTGCCTCGATCCGGCTCTCACAACCACTGCCAGTCTTTCCCAGCCCATGAACGCGAAGCCGCATGCGTGCCGTCTCCTCCTGCGCCTGATTCATCTGCTGAAGCGCTTCGTTTGCTTCGTCCAGCTTGTTCTGAAGCAGATTCAGCTTAAACTGGGCCTTTGTCAAGCGATGGGCTCGAAACGAAAACAGCTGCGGCAAGTACTGCAACGCCTTGTACGCTACAATGTTTTATTATTAAAGTTTGAAAAATCCCCGCTTTCACTTTGCAAAAAATGCTCAGAATCATCTGCAAACGTCATAGCCCTTGAGAATTCCAAAAAGAATCTCGCACCTGATATGCTCTCCTGCACCAACAGAACGCAAAAAGAGAGTAATAAGCAAGAAACAAAGGCTGGAACGCACCAGGCGAGCCGGTGCGATCATGCGTTTTTGCATCAAAACT